GTTACACGATTTGGACAATTTTGCTGTTACGCCAGGCATATACATACATACATACATACATATATATATATATATATATATATATATATATATATAAACACAATTTCGAATGAATTGCTTATGCGTATACCGGTCTGCATTTTTCTATTATTTGATTTCCTAATTCTATTTATTTCTATAAATATATCTTTATATCTGCATATGTGTGCATATACGGGTATACAGAGAGAGAGAGAGAGAGAGAGAGAGAAAGAGAGAGAGATTGGCACGCACACATCTACATACATATATGTGTCTGTATGTGTGCGTTTGCGTATATTGTTATGTATTTGATTTGTTTAACCGAGCTGTCAGAACTGACGTCGACGCTGAAGTAATTTTTGCATTAATTACATTAGTTACATATTCTAAATTGGTAATTTAGGAATTTTATCGATGTAATTAACTCTACTGTCGTGTGTCAGAAAATTATTCCTCTCATTAAAAGTAAAAATATCCGAAGAAAACTGTGACGTGACAAAAGAAATAAAAAAAATAAAAAAACTAGGTCGAAACCGCACCTTGTCTACTGAGTAATGATAACTTGTGCGTTTAGAAAGAATGTTCCCATAATGACACCGATTACGTCTTTAATATAAATACGTACTATCTTATTACGAGGGAAAGAGGTATCTGAATATTTGACCGACAAATATATATGTAGTTTCATTGCTTCATTTATATTGTTGAAAGGTAATTGCAATTTTATAGAGATTTTTTAACATGTTTGTGTATAGCTCTACTCTGTATTGAGCCTTCTTTTAAATTAAATGTTACAGACACTATAATTATATTCCATGTCTTCTCATTTTACCTTTATATATATATATATATATATATATATATATATATATATATATATATATATGTGTGTGTGTCCATACATACACACACACACACACACACATGTATATATATATATATATATATATATATATATCCATACACAAACACATACACACACACACACACACACACACACACACACACACACACATATATATATATATATATATATATATATATATATATATATATATATATATATGGTTGGATTGATGTGAGTTTGTGACCCTGAGTTTCACGCTTTTGCGATCGTCAGACAAACTCTATGTTAGCCCTATCTCTGGTATTGAGCGCTTTCTAATAAGTACCCCTTTTATATAATATATAAATAATTTTATATATATATATATATATATATATATATATATATATATATATATATATATATATATATTTATATTTATATACATACACTGTTCACACACACACACACACACACACACACACATATATATATATATATATATATTTTTATTTTATATACATACACTGTTCACACACACACACACACACATATATATATATATATATATATATATATATATATATATATATATATATATATATATATATATATATATATATATATATATATGATTGTGTTGGGCAACAATCCCTCTTTTATACAATTTTCATTCAAGATGACTGACAAACCGCACTGGTTATGCTTTTTATTTAATTCTTCTTGGGTTCGTATAGATTATTTTCTTTTCTGGAGATAAAGTGTGTAAAAATTGGCCGAATGTTCTGTATATTCGAACACCTTCGGCTATTCATTTACCCAATACCATTTTTTTTGTTGCATGTGTACCTTTTATGTATATATCTATTATTATGTAAGAATATAATACTCATGTAAATAATAATGGTGAAACATAATAGAAACACTGAAACATAATAAAAGAGAAAAAGACGACACATAATAACATCAGCTATGAACACGGTTACAATGTGTCTAAAAATGTTTAAAAAGATCTTGGCAATAATATTAGGTTGGTGCAAAAATAATGACGTAAAAATATCGTTTTTTGACGTATTTTTTAACGTCAAAAAACGACATTATTACGTCATTATTTTTGCACCAACCTAATAACTCTAGATATATAGATAGAATATACACATCCGATTAAGTAAACAACCTCCATGATGATTGCTTAAGAATATCCGAAAGCGCTTTGATATACAGAACAGTTGTTCATTTTTTACACAGAAAAAAACATATACGAACACAGGAAAAATTAAATAAACGATTAACTGCACTGCCTTGCTAGTCGTCTATAATGATAATATCCAAAAGCAAATTTGTAGAAAATAAAGGCTTAATAATCACATCCACATGTAAATTACCGGAAGCCATCAAATAAAAAATAAACAACCAACACTCAGTAACATTAACTGCGAACATGGCCACAATGTGCTAACTTTGTTTGAAAAATAGAACATCCTTATAACTCGAAATACATAGAGACAACGCATGCATTCAGGTAAAAGTAAAAATAAAATCACCTTTGAGAAGTATTTCCGAAAGGACATGGAAATGCAGAACATTTGGACAGTTTTTAACGAAATTTGTATAAAACATGGATCGTTGCCTTAATATATATATATATATATATATATATATATATATATATATATATATTGTTAAATATATATATTGTTAAATTCTCAGATCAAATCTGTGGGCAAGACAAATTGGTCTTGTCCATAGAATTGATCTGGGAATTTAACTATATTTTTCGATATGCAAAGAAAAAAAAAACTCTGAGTATAAAGGAAATTTACATTAACAAGAAATAGCCTGACGCGGAAGCGTCTCTCTCTTTTTTTAATTTTGTATTTTTAATGTAACTTTAACAACAAACACATTTTGATTTAATTTTTGCCTTGAAAAATTCGGAAGACGAAAAAAAAAGTCCACTAAGATTTTTTCCAAATTGTCATTCTTATACCATATATATATATATATATATATATATATATATATATATATATATATATATATATGTGCATGTATGTATGTATGCATGCATGTATCTATGTATGGGAGGTAATTTTAAGACTTTTTTTTCGACTAAGTTCGAAACTCCAATCTCCTTCAAAGTGGGAGAGCCGGACCTCAATGTACTTGTTAAAGCACTCTAGCCACTCCGTGTAGACCCCATACAAATCAGCCAAAATGAAAGTGTCCAGGGCCCTTGTCACAGCCCCCTTCATCTTGTCAGTGTCTTTAAAACGTCTACACCTGAGGTTTTCCTTCACCTTGTGGAACAAACTAAAATCTTAGGGCTAAGCGTTTGCACTGTAGAGTGGGGGGAGACAATTTTGATGCCTATCTCTGTCAATACCAAAGTTTCTTTCATTCTGAGATTCCAAATTGTCTTCGTTCCCGACTGCATTCTTTAAATTAGCCAGCTGTGACAAGCACTGTTTAGTAGGGTGTGTTACAACCGTCTGCTTCAATCTGGAATAACAAAAATTTGACAGGGTAGCTTATTAGATATATAGTAGTGATATAATCAAATTACAATAATCTCGTATAATTATAACTGCCTCTGCTATGAAAGTCTCAAAACTTCTGAAATGCTTCAAGTATTAAACATTGAACATCAGCCAAACGCAGTCTAAAGGCATTTTTAATACAGTTCTCAATGTCTTTTTATATAGCGTCATATACATTGAAAGACTAAACTCAATAAGACGAATAATAGCGACATAAAGACCAGACATAGAATCTTTTGATTTGAATTCGTCTGATTTTATTTATTTATTTTCAACTAAATGCGGATATTTATCAAGTAGCAAGGCCGCCACATTAAATTATAATTATGTCTCTATTAGATTTTTATGGTAGAAAAGTAATTCATGTTCAATGAAGATCCATGATTTGAATATTTCTTGTGTCCCAAGTTCACGTTCAATCCAATGTCAAAGATTAGAAAAAAAAAATGTCGGCTCGTTCTTACTTGCCATGATTCATCTATCACTTTCTGAAATGTTTTATCTTTACAAGTATGAGAAATGACCGGAAATGGAGGTTTGCTTTCATTCACAGGCTACAGATGCTTATTCTTCAACTTCCTGTCTTGATAGAGCTCAAATTCGTTTCACATAGTCTTGGGAGTTTTGAGAGATGACTTATTTGACATTGTCTAACATAATTCTCACGCAACCCTGTCACTATTATATTGCTATTCCCGCGAAAAATGTTTAGATGTTCTCCCTTCTTTATTTCTAACAGTTCAGACCATTACAGTTACAACACACCACACTACTTCCGCCGTGTCGAATCACCCGCATCTCCCCTGTGTTCTAAATGTAAGAAGATAGATGACTCTTCATTCTTAACCGCGACATTCTTTCTTTCTTTCTTTTTGATACCATTTCTATTTCAGTTTCCAATTCATGTTCAATCATTTGCCTTCTCAGTCTTAACCTCACATTTTTTTACGATTAATTTATTATTATTTTTTCCTTAATTTTCTTCATGATACTTTTCTACCATATTCTTTTATTCTCTTTATCCGCCTTTTCTACCATATTCTTTAATTCTATTGACCCATCTATTCTACCACACTCTTTAATTTTCTTGATCCTTCTGTTCTACCAAATTTTTTAATTCTCTTCATGTCGTCTGTTCTACCATACTCTTTAATTCACTTCATCCTTCCGTTCTAGTATGTTTAATTCTATTCATTCTTCTGTTCTACCATATTCTTTAATTCTCTTCATCCTTCCTTTCTACCATGTTTAATTCTATTCATCCTTCTGTTCTACCATACTCTTTAATTCTCTTCATCCTTCCGTTCTAGTATATTTAATTCTATTCATTCTTCTGTTCTACCATATTCTTTAATTCTCTTAATCCTTTTTTCTAACATATACTTTCTCTACATGCTTCTGTTCTACAATATTCTTTAATTCTCTTCATCTTTCTGTTGTACCATATTCTTTAATTTCTTCATTCTTTTTTTTTATTCTGACCTTTTCTTTATTTCTTTTTTTAAATCCTTTCATTTATCTCTTTTTCTTTCATTTTACATTCATTTTTCATTTTTTGTTCTATTTCCTTAATCCTTTCTGTTGCTTTTATTCTTTCTCCTTCCTATTTTCAGTCCGTTTCTTCATTTTATTCGTTCTATATTTCTTTCTGCTTTATTTTTGTATTTTCATTCATTCTTTCTTCTTTTTTTTTTCTTACTTCATTCTCTTTCTGTATTTTTTTTTTTTTATGTCTTTTGTTTTTCATTCTGCTCTTTTGTTTGCTTGTTTCATTCGCCCTTTTTTTTTTCTTGCAGATTTTCTTCCTAATTTTCTTTTATTATATCAGCCTTTCTTTCTTTCTTAATTTTTCCGTTTTTTTTAATTAGGTTTTTACTTTTAACTTATCTTTCTTCTTTCCATTTCATTGCATCCTTTCTCACTTTCTTTCCGCCTTTATTTCTTTATTTCTTATTTTTATTTTTCTCCTCTTTCTTTCTTTCTTTCTTTCTTTCTTTCTTTCTTTCTTTCTTTCTTTCTTTCTTCATTCCTCATTTTTTTCTCTCTTTCATGTTATATTTTTCTTGCTTTATTTATCCGTCCCGTTTTTTTTTTTTTATTTCGTCCATTTTTAAATTTCTCTCCTTCTTTCTTTATCTACTTTCTTTCTTCCTTCAAAAAGAATATTTTACTTATTTTATTTTCTTAATTCTGCCCATTGACATTATTTCTTTTTTTTTTTCATCCACTTCCATATTTTTTTTTTTTTTTTCAATTTTCATTTCTCTTCTGGTTTTCGTTTCTTCTTTCCTTCGGATTTGATTATAAATTTCTCTTCATGTAAACTTCCCTTTAATTTCCTTACATTCTTTAGTTCCTTTTTGCTTCTTTTTTTTTATCTTTTTTTTTTTTAATTCACTTGTATATTTTTGAAAAGGTATTTTTACCTTTTATTTTTCTGAACTGTTGTTTATTTGTGAGGAATTTTCCAATCGAAAACGCATTCCGAGTAGGGCGACATAGAAGATGTCAAACAAACACGGGAAAATAAAATCAAAAAATAAAATCAAAACAAAAATCCACATACCTATCCACACTCTGCATAAGCGCACACGTGCTAAAGTTGATTTCACTTGCTAGCTGCACACACACAAACACACACATACACACACGCACACACACATACACACACACACACACACACACATATATATATATATATATATATATATTGACTTACATATGGGAAACTGAAATCAAAGACGACAGAGAATCAATTTCAAGAGAAAGAAACGGCGACTGAGGGATATTGGAGGCGAATGAATGTAAATTGGCAGGTAGAAATTAAAGAAAATTTAAGAAAAAGGAAGGAGAGAAAGATTTTAAGAGGAAGCAAAAAAAAGAAGGAAAGAGAGAGGGAAGAAGTGAAGGCCTTGTACAGGGTGAAACTTACTGTAAGTAAAAGGAAGGAAAATTAGATTTACGGAGTGCAAAATGATATGAGAATTATTGGTAAAAATTGTAGGAATGAAAATGTAAGAATGAAAATGTGGACATGAAAAGGTGGGAATGAAAATATGAGAATGAAATAACGGCAGAACAAGAAAAAAAAGAATTAAAGAACAAAAGAAAAGGAATGAAAATAACAGAGAAAGCAACACTGACAATGAAGAAGAAACGAAGAAAAAGAGAAAAAGAAAACCTAAATGGCTGAACGAAAAAAGTCAATTAGGAAGAAACACTGAAAGAAATAAAGAAGGAAACAAGATTAGATTAAATAATAGAAAAGAGTAAAATTCAGTATCTGTAAAAGTCAAACAAAAGAAGAGTAAGACAATGGAGACATGGGAGGTAATAAAGATAGAAAGAAAGAAATTATACATGACAAGTACACAAAAGACGAAGAAAAGAAGGAGAATTTCAAAGGAAGTCGGTAAAAATGTACTAGGGAGCTTCGCCCGAGCGCTATCACTTCGCAAAGATATATTCACTACTTGAAATCTTTAAAACGAAAATTTTAAATGAACATGTCATTCATAAATTGGCTTGAGGAACATTTTACAAATAGATGCCAACTTGATTAAGGCAAGTAAAATGCAAATTTCAAACAATTTTCTGCACTATATAAGACGATATTCGTAAACAGAAATATTTTGCATATGAAAATCAAAACAATCCTCGAATAAAACAGTAATGAAACAATTAATGAAATAAACTTTTTTAAAATCAATATGAAAATTACTTAAACCAGAAGGGTGGCATTGCCTAGAATTGCCTGGGGAACAGCTGCCCGAGGAAGCGCCCGCTCATTGCACCAGAGAGAGTGATAGATGCTCGCACCGAAGCCAGCGCAATCGACGGTTGCAGGCCTACGGGCAATTTTTGTTCCTAGCCTGAGAGTACACACTCTGGTCCCCACCTTATAAACTGACTTTGTGCCACATCTCGTCTGAGTGGGGAGACAGAGTAAATACCTAGTGTATAAATTACTCTCTCGAGTAGTTTGTAACACATTATTTATTATCTCTTAGTTACGTCTCTGTCTTTGGGAGAGTGCGCTCAGGGGCAGCTCCGACAAAGAACAGAGTCGCAATTGAGGAAAGGGAGGCCATTGCAACTGATGGTTGAGGGGTTACGGGCAATTTGTGTTCCTAGCCCGGGTGTACGCGCTCGGGCTCCCCACATTAAACCGACCTTGCGCTACAACCTGATCTTGTTGGTGTGGGAGTTTGAGTAAATACAAACTGCTTTCTCAGGGAGTTTGTAACTCATCTATTTATTATATCACAGTTGTGTCACTGTTTTTGGCAAAGTCCGCTAAGGGGTGGCTCCGTCAAAGGACAGAGTTGCAACTGCGGAAAATTGCACTGTGAAGTGCCCAGCAGTGGGGAACAGCTGCCCGATTCCGAGCCCTCTCATTGCAACAGAGAAAGTGGTTGGTGCTCGTAAGGAGGCCAGCGCAACCAAACAGCGGGCAACTAAGAAAGAGACAACCTTCATATATATATTTTGGATTTTTAATGTAACTATAACAACAAAAACATTTCGATTTCATATTTGCCTTGAAAAAGTCGGAAGACGAAACGCGTCGGCAAAATGTAAGATTTTTTTCCAATTGTCATTCTTATACCATATATATATATATATATATATATATATATATATATATATATATATATATATTTTCACTAAAACCAAGTTGCATATTTGTAGTGAGTAAAATGGTTTTTACCAATCTGTCATGTCTACAGAATTCATCTGGGAATTTAACTATATATATATATATATATTTATATATATATATATATATATATATATATAAACACGCATGTATATATACACACACACAGAGAAATAAATATATTTGATTTAGATAGATAGGTAATTAGATAGAAACATACTTTAAGTTTGCTGACACTACATGCACGTATTCAGTGTCAATTGGTCGAATCTTGTTTTGTGTCACACTAACAAGTGGGTAGGTCCTTCCCCCCTCTTTTGTAATTCAGTTTTCCAAACCCTGACATTCATATAGTCGCTACTACAGACCAGCGCCGCCAGTTATAAATATTTCCCCCTGTTTCGGTCAACGGGCAAACACATTCACAGACATAGATAGATAGATAGATAGATAGGTAGATAGATAGATAGAAACATATTTAGTATAGATAGATAGATAGATAGATAGATAGATAGATAGATAGATAGATAGATAGATAGAAACATATTTAGTTTAGATAGATAGATAGATAGATAGATAATGACAAGAGAACTGTTTTAACATCGATCCAAATGCAAAAGGAAATCATGCAGTGGAACGTATCATCAAGTAAAAGATTAATAATTATTTTAAAAAAATATAAGCGATTCTTCACGAAAGATCCAAAAAATCATTGATATGTACGTTTGAATACATGCAGTCATATAACTATTAGGCCCATGCACCTAATAATACACTCCCTTTCTATCCCTATATATTGTTTATATCTATATGCATACATATATGTGTTACAGAAACGGGCTAAAAACAAAATATATGCTCACCAAAGTAAGCAAAGAAGCAAATATTATTGTTCTCGATACAAATCATTAAAAAAAATCAGTCAAAACCATCCAACAAATTTCAGCTTCGGTTTTTTCGATTGTGCCACAACGTGACAAGCAAGTTTGCAGATCGATAAGTTTAACCCTTTGCGAAAATGAATAGCAGACAACAACAAAACATAGAATATAAAATAATAATCGAATGTGTAAAGAATAACTTGGAAATTTGCGTCAGCCATTAAATTGAACGGAAGACTGGTAGTTCTTCAAGTAAATTATTTGCTATTTCGTCTTTACATGAATCTTTGGAAGCTGGAACGATTCCATCATTTGTTTTCTCTGTAGTAACCTATTTCTGTAAATACCACTTCCTCTTTTCTTTCTCTTATTCTCTTGTTCTTTCGTTCTTTCTACGTATATACATAGATAGATAGATAGAAAGATAGATAGAGAGATAGATAGATATGGGCATGATAAAAAAAAAATTATACGCAGATATACTTGCAAGTATATAGATATTTTTTCATATATATATATATATATATATATATATGTGTGTGTGTGTGTGTGTGTGTGTGTGTGTGTCTGTGTGTGTGTGTGTCTGTGTGTGTCTGTGTCTGTACGCGCGTCGTGGGTGTGATATTGGATTTTCAACGCTTCGGAAGAGTTTGATGATCACGGAATTTTTGTATCTGTTTGTCCTTGCATTAAATCATCCGCTCCAGCGATTCACCTCAATCATCTTATATATATATATATATATATATATATATATATATCTGTTTTTATTTGAAAATCTCAAGTTATTCCACTGACAACCTTTATTATCTGATTTTATATCTTGGCAGATATTAAATTTGAAAGTTCTTCGACGATATAATTTCATTAAAGACCTGGTTTTATTTAGCTGACCTCTATTCGATGAGAAGAAGCTTTCAATTTATTGGCTTTGTTAAAATTTAAAATACACACACGCACACGCACACAGATATATATACATACATATACATATATATATATATATATATATATATATATAGAGAGAGAGAGAGAGAGAGAGAGAGAGAGAGAGAGAGAGAGAGAGAGACAGAGAACCTCCGGGATGTTTTCAGTACAAGGTTGGGTCCGTTATGGCATTTCTCGCGGCAATGAGGGTTACATTTCAGCGTCTTTCTTCTCCAAATGACATGAGACAACTTGTACTGGCTGACATGATAGTCTACAGCAGGGTGTAATCTTTGATCTGCACGTTCGGGAGTGGATTCCTGCCTTTCCCAAGAGCAATACTGTAAACAAATTACCTTTACCAGTTTCTGTACTCAAGTCACCGATTCAATTTTCCGTGTGATTAACTGTTAAGGCCGACTCTGCATTTCCGGTGTTTGTTTTCTTGCTTGTTATTTTTTGTTTTGTTTTGTCTTTAAAAAATCATCGAGCCAGAACCATTAGACAAAAAAAAAAGAAAAGAAAAGAAAATGCTTTGTGTAAAATTAACGTATACACTTGTGGCCCGACAGACGTTTTCTGTACAGCAGCAGTTTGAAATCAATTACTAATGTGCGACACGGAAATTCGAAGGCTCATTGGAATAGCCAAAGACGCCAGCAAGAATTTGAGCAAAGTATTAAAAAGCAGAAAAACGTCTAAAGAACAAAAGAAACGTTAACTGAAAAATTATGTAATATCAGTCCTCCTATATTGCAGTAAATCCTGGAAAATATCATTGCAGATGATGAAGAGACTTGAAGAAATGTGGTTTCTACAGTAAGATGCTGAAA